ACAGTTACTGAGATTACTGGGAGCAAGTACAAGGCAGACACAAATCACAGGAATTGAACAGCTAAAGCCCTGCTCAATTTAGTGAGAGGCTACTATGCTTCTGGTATGTCAAGATCTATCTGTTTAAGTGTAATCAGGAAAAACAACATAATGCAGTGCACTGAGCCTGGGATGCAAGACCAGTAATCAGAATTTCTGGATCTGATAAATGTTTATAAATATCTAAAGAGAGGTGAGAGGCAAATGGATAAGGCCAGGCTTTTCTTGGTGGTATGCAGTGACTGGACAAGGAGTAATGGCATAAAACTTGAACACAGGAAATTCTGTACTAACATATGGAATAACTTCTTTATGGTAAGGATGACGGAGCATGAGGTTGCCCAGAGAGGTTGTGGAGTCTCCTACTATGGAGACATTCAAGACTCATCTGGATACCTACCTGTGCAACTTATTGCAGGGTACCTGCTTTAGCAAAGGAGTTGGACTCGATGATCTCTTGAGGTCCCTTCTAACTTCTGTGATTCTGATCTCAGCCCTGCCTCAGATGTATGTGGTGGCCCTGGAGCAGCAGCCTCACTCCCTGCACATTTACAGAGAAGCACTGTGAGTTGTCTGCTCCACTAAGGAACTGGGCAGTCAGCTCTCAGCTTCTGCATGCTTGTCTGACAATGTGAATGGCACCATAAATATTACCATTATATGTGAGACCTCTCCATGTTTGTCCCCCAGAAAACATGCACCGTGTACCTTGGATCTGAGGCAACAGACCTGTGCTCTAGCATCAGGCCTGAGGCCCAGCCCCCTGGGGACTGCAAATGTGGCCTGCTAGCAGCACAGAAGCTACCAGGGTGCTCACCACGAGGGCCTTGCTTTAATTCTTCTTCAGTACGTTAAAACTAAGGTGTTTAAGAAATGGCCTGGCTCTCCTCTCACAGAATGGCTTCATTGCCATTCTGCCAGTTGCAGGGACATAGCCCACTTCCTCGAAAGTTACTGGCTTAATGCAGGAATAACAAAGAGAAGGACCTATGGCCTGTTTATTTAGGAAGAAAAATTAGATGGCTTAAAATGCTTAAACACATGCTGGAGTTCAGTTTCCTAAGATCTTCATCTCTGAACCATTATCTTACTGGGGGCTTTGCTGGGCCATACTCGTTCCAAGGAGATCTAAGGGGTCACCTGAGGTGAGACAGAAGAGGCAAAACCCCCCAAGTAATGCCACAAGAACAGTTTTTAGTTAGTTTGTTTGCTTTTAAACAGAACAAGTTATCTCTTGTAATACAGGAACAGGGAGAAGTATTGGCTACATCCCTCTTCCATGAAATAACTGAGTTCCAGGCACAGAGGATGTGAGAGTACTCATGACCCAGGACCTGCACTCTTCTCCTGCTCAGAGGAGCAGCAGCTTCTTAATTATTCCAGAAACTGCTTATGAGTGAATATTTTGAAATTGCTGAGGAAAAGCAAATGCTAAAACCAGTTTACATTTCATGCTTTGTATAGTTTTGCACTCATTATTACTTGTAGGAATTAGTCCAGCCAGCATCTCCTGTGGCGCTGGCATCCCCACCATCAGCCAGCCTCACGGTTCTGTTGCAGTACCAGTTGTTATTGCAGGCTTGTTGGCTGGTGACCCAAACCTATACAGGGCTTTGCAAATCATCAGAAAAATCATCAAATCCTCGCTGTGGTCCATGGGGAGCCAGCATGGAAGGAAGGGAGTGCTCCCGGCTGATGCTGGGTTGCTAAGCACAGGGGCTGCTATGTCAGGGAGGCAGGACAGGGCTGGGCCATCAGGCTGGGAGCATATGAGCCCTCAATGAGCTGCATGCTGCTGTGCATTTACATAGCTTACGTACATTTACATAGCTTACACTGGAAGAAAGCACTGGCAGGGAAGGGTCAAAAGTGCAAAGCTTGAGAGCTAAAGCCTACACTGACTGCACAGTAGCTGATAATGTCCTCAGCAGAAAAGCACTTAGAGGAAAGAAAACCAGGACTGTGCTGCTAAGGAGAATTTCAAAGGCCAAAAGGCAAGAATGTTAAAAATATCTCCAAATAAAACCCATGTGACCTGGTCCAGCAAAGCTCCTTTGCACAAAGGAGTGGGGTACAGATGTACCCCCAGTACGCTGTGAGCGAGGAGCACAGTGGGAAAAAGAGATTCCCCTCAATCTTAGTTTATGTGTCTAAAACAAAATGAGCTTTTGCTCACCCCTATCTGCATGATCTTAGATTCCTTCATGTGACTCACTTGGCACCTACTTATTTCCCAGTGCACATATTTAACAGTTTCCCTGGGCATCTTTCTCACTTGGATGGTGTCTGAGGCCAGAGCTCTGTCATTCCCCAGTCACTACCCTCACCACACTCTGTCCCATGTACTTCCCTCTCCTTAGAGAAAGCAGAGTACTCACAGAGATGCTGCTGTGGCCAGGCCAGCCCATGTCTGCTTTCACTTCCTCCAGTATAGTTGTAGACCTCAGTATTGGTGCTTTAATTCAGACTGATGTAACCAAGACTGAAATCTGTTCTATAGCAGATATTTCTCAAAGCTTATCAAAGAAGAACCAAACCAGAAGAGAAGCAAGAAAAACAGAGAGTGCCACTAAACTTTGCCAAGATAGGTTTCAAAGTCAGTGAAAACCATCTGAGATCAGAATTAAAATATACAACATAAAACATAGCACCCTGAAAAAAACAAAAATTTCCAAGCAGCGATGTCCTACAGATCCCACAGAACATTTGTAATTACTTATAACTAGCAAAGACTAAGGAGGAAGGCCTGCACAGAACTAACAACATGTGAGTAAAGCCAGTGCTCACTGCTGGGTTGCTTTAGCCAACACCTTCACTGTGGCATGCACACCCATCACAGCTCCCTGCTTGGGCCAGGAGCTGTGTCTGCACAGCAGGGAGGAGGAAAAAGAACAACACATGCAACTGGCTTTATGGACAATATAAAATAACAGGACTACACACTTTAATGAGATAATTAAAACTCTGTTGCTGTTTTGCTACATGCCAAGGACACTCAGTTTCTTGGCAACAGGCCTCTAATTTTCCTTCTTTGATATCCAGGTCACAGCCATTTGAATTAGAGGCTCATTTCCAGCAGCAGAGCACAACAATGGCAACAGCTCTCTGTCCTAGTGGAAGCTTTACCCCAAAGTTCAGTGCCTTTCAACTACATACCGACTGTAACTGCAATTATAAAAACTGTGAAAGCCCTTATGAAGGGGAATATCACAATATTCGCAAAGGTGAGGTGAGACTTTCATATTCAAAAACTGGATAGCCTTGTGCAGTATAAGCAACTTCTCACACCAGCAGCAAAGTCTGTGTTGTTCCAGCTAAAGAATGTGACTGAAAGTGTAAAAAGGAAGAGAAGGAGAACACCTGTTCCATCCCTGGCTCTCCAGTTTCTTCAAAAATTAGATCAACCCAATCCCTAATCATTTGCTATCACCCCAACCTTTTCAAGAGGAAGGGGAGTGCTGTGTGCTGGGCAGATTACATGTGGAAATCACATACATTTCTGCTGGGCTTTGGTGGAGGCAGTAAACTAGAAGGGAAGCCCGCAGCCCTCGCCAGAGCTCATGGAGCAAGCTGCACACAGCCTAGGGGTGACCAAATGTCTCCAGGCGATTCACAAGGCCTCCTCATTCCTAATTATGCCTAACAGCTGAAAGGCAAGAGGACACACCTCTTTTTGAAAAGCAGATGCTTTTTCACAAAGTAATACAGAGCATGCTACCAAGGAGCTGCTAAGAGAACAGATCATATAGCCCAGATGGCAGTCACACTGCTTAATGCACTGCTGGAAGGTGCCCAGCTAGCCTGGTGATGAGTGACAGAAGAACCTATAGAGAATAATGTTCTTTGTTAAGTGCCAGCTATTTATTACATTATATTCTGAGAACAGCTGAGGCGAATTAACCACAGTAACCATTTGCTATTCTCTCAGACAGCCCTGAGATAGTATCTGTACTACTCCTGTGGCTGATGGTAGCTTCTGGGCAGACGTGGGCTTGTTCAAAGCAAACCTAAAGCCAACTGCCTAGGTTAGCATACTGCCAAACCCTCATCAACAAACCACTCCACAGGTATACGAGTTTATACCTGCTCCTACGCCAGCTATCACTTGGGTTTTGGTCAACTTGGAGTCTGACCAGAACAGGCCTGCATCCACTCGGATTGCACAATAAGAACAGAGCTGGCTGCCCAGCTATTGCATTAGTGGGTGAAGTGCTCATCGACCCAGCTGCAGCAAGTAAAGGAAGGGTGATTGGGAACACATTCTTAAATCTGTCTCTTAAATCAGTCTTAAATCTGATCAAAAGCGAGTATAAGACAAGATTTCTGTACTCTTCATAACATCATCCATGCTAGAAATATCCAAGTTGCTTTTTTTTTTCATTAAAAAGTCACTATTTTCATCAAAACAATATTGCAAAGAGATATTTGGCAGAACATTGAGAGATTGTATTTTCTACTACCTGTTCTAAATTTGATCTTGCAATAGGGACAGGTGAGTTAAACAAAGTAGAATCCTGACCACAAAATCTGGATTGCTTTGATATTCTGGCAGTGAAGCTAAGACAATACAGCTTTGCTCCAGAGAACAGCTTGGCCCTGTAGATCAGTACCTCATGCATAAAAGCAGAAACAAAGTTTTACTGAGATGGCTATTCTCCTCTGAATATGAGCACATCTTAAATACTGCTATTGTTTCACAAACAGTTAACAAGAGTAGCCATCTTCTACATTACCTCCTGAGGAGCAAGGTATGCAAGAACTCCATGGTTGTTTTGCACAAGCTGTCTATGCTTGAGCCATCGATGTCTACATTCACTCATCTGCAACATCCAATAAAACACAGATTAAAGTAGAAGGCGAGTTAAACAGTATTGGCAAACTTACTGTTCTGTGTAAGTCAGCTGAATAACACAGCCTATTGCAGTTAGGATACAGGTAGTAGTAGTTTTAAAATCTAATTTAAGATTTTTGCTATGTTTATTTGGGTTATCTTATAAGAACATTCCTCTGTATGATGGCATGCAATACATACATATCTGGCCCCAAAGGAAACCCATGACATAGCATCTGCTAAAATCCATTAAACTATAACACAGTTTAAAAAAAAAATCTAGTTAAGTCAGGAAACAGCAAACAATACACCCTATTGCCTGTGATGATAAATTAGTCTTAACTTTTTACTACTGTTTAATGATTTTTCACTGAAATAAGAACTTTGCTATCAAGGTATGACTGCTCAAGATACATTGGAGAGCTATGTGATTTTCAGAATTCAGTTTTTAGATAGTAAAAATTTATCTCTTTAATCGTCCTGGAAGTGGCATCTGAAGAACAGGCATGACAAGGAGCTTTTCTATTCCTGAAATTTAGGCTCCCTTTAATGTAGGATTAAAGAATGCAAACACATAAACCTACAGCCCTCAAACTGTACATTCTCCTGGAAGATCTGACCATCCAAAAGCATCAGTAAGCACTATACATATATCCATGATCATGATGTCCAGGTTTAATTTTGGGTCAAAGAGTAGCAATGTCGGTGAATCAATCAATAAAGTACAGATCTCTTGAGAAAGATTAAATCAATTGTTACTGTCCTCCAAAAAAGAATGGAGATCTTGATTCAACCATAGTCAATGGTTCTTCAATCTCAGAATCCCTCACTTTCAGATGCAAGTGCTTCATCAACAGATTTTGTATGCCTCTCCCCAGTGTAAATCCCATAATGTAGTTCGTCATCCTTTACAGTAGCCCAGGACATCTGCTTGGTGGAGAACCTTGCTGCCCACTCTCCTGAACTGCTAACAACAATGACACCTCCCAAGCCCCCAACTCGAGTCTTCATGTATTCTAATGCAGTGTCAGCAGCCATCTCCGGTGACATTCCTGAAAAGAAGAAAAAGATAACTTCACAATATCTGCCTTGAAATGAATTTTAAAATTCTCTTCAAGATTCACACCCTCCCTTCACCTTCTGCATTAGAGCCAACCAAATCTAATTCTTCCTTCAACTAAATTGGCAAAAAACTTCCAGTGCAGGAACTGAACTGCTTTATAGGAAGGCACTGGACAGTTGCAAACAGCTTCCACAGTATGGTTCTGCTGCAAAGACTGGGTTTGAATAGCTTCAGATTATACTTAGGTTTCAGCATTTGGTACAGACTAACTCATCAACTCTATGTTCAAGACACAACATTTTTAATGCCATCATTTGAGGGAAAAATGCCAGTCTGCAAGTTCTCTCATAGGTATGCCACTAGCTACATTTATACAACAAAAAATGCCAGCTGTCCTCTGTTTGAAGTCCACGGCTATAACAGAGCCCAAAGCACATTATTTCACATCTCCAAAATTTACTGAAAACAGATCAGCATTATCCTTCTTGAAACTTCTGAAAGTATCAAGTAAGACAAAGACAGGGACACCAGAAAACACCAGCAAAACAACTCTATCTGTTCCTTACAGTTAATTCATCGTAACAGATTTATGTGAATTAAGTTACTGTGCACGTTATCCTCACATGCCTCCAATAGCTGCAGAGTATTTCTTCATTGAAAGTCTGAATACACAGACTATCAGTAATGTTATGCAGCTCATGATGCAGAATAAAGAATGACCTTCATGTCTTCTTTGCAAATTTCAAGTTAAAACCAAACAAAACCAGCAGAATCAGAATTATTCACAGCACTGGTGACTGACAGGATAGAGCTCCATTCCATGTCATTATGGGTGACACTGTGACTATTCAAGTCAGCGGCATCGACTTCAAAGGGTCAGCATTTCACTGTTTGATTTTTCATCAAGACAACAGCTGCTGCCATAAGGCAGAGATTCCAATAGTCATTAAGACTGGCAAAGCAATTCCCTCATAAAATAGCAAATTAAATTTTGTAACACTGGCTGCAAAAGAAGGTATTTGCAGCATAGATTACTGAATAGCAAAACAGAATTACAGAAGAGCGTAATTTAAACATGCAACTTCAATTGACCATTCAAAGACTCAAAAAGTTGTAAGAACTTGGGGGATTCTTTTCAGCATCTTCGTGGAAACGTGGGGGAAAAACAGAAGGAAAGCTACTGTTGATGTATTTACCTGCAATCTGAGTTACATTTCTGGGCTGGATGAATGAAGGTAGAACAGGGTAAATAAGTGCAAATAAGTACTCTTTTTAAGCATGCACACACGTGGACTGATTATTCTGTTAGTACTTTTGTTGTAATCTGAGCCCCATTTGCCTGGTGTATCATGAGCCAAACACCTATCAGTGCAGAGGTCTTGCAGTGGAGTGAACTTCCATTTAGAGAAAAAAATGGTTTGCACCTGAGCTTGAAAGTCATTCACAAACTGAATGGCTAGGGACATAATATAAAGAGTAAGGGGAGACCATGATGTGACAGAGGTTTGGGAAAGAATCTGTAGGTTATATTTTACACTGAAAGTGTAACACGACCAAAGAGATTTGCAGAAAAGTACATCAATTATATGCAAACAGCATAACAAAAAGCGTAACAAAAATATTCTCAGCTGTTATGTCTTTTTACTTACTGCTTCACTAACAAAAAAGTAAATGGAAAGTTTTCCAACTATTTCCAGTTCATCTGATCTCAAAGTGAGCTACACTGTACAGCCCCAGAGCTATGGCTAAAAATAATATCTATATTAATGGTTCTTCAATTGCACGCAATACAAGTATGTTGTCTGGCAATGTTTACTGGCTGTAACATAATGAAGGGTTTAAATGAGAGGCTAAATCATGAAGGTAAAGCTTCACAGGGTCATCCCACAGTCAGATGATATTACAGTCACATCAGACATACTGTGTCAGCTGTTTGCCACATACCCATCCAGTCAGTTCAGTAGATTTTCCAAAACAAAATGAAATTGTAAATCATAGTCAAAATGTCTTAAAAATATTTCTGTTGCTATAATAAGAATTGTTAAAACAAAAATCATCATAGCTTATTAGACAGGTGATATTCCAAGCTTTCTTATTTCAGCTCTGATTCTTTTACCTCCGACTCTTTCCTACTGTTTCATTAAGTGTTTTGTTTTTGTTTTCTATCTTTGTTCAAAAAATTATTTTAAAATTAAATAAACTTTATAAAAAAAAAAACCTTAAGTTAAACAGTACAAAATAGACAATCATATATTTTAATATACATTCATCTAAAAATGATTTAACATCAAGAAGCCCAAATGCTTTTGTCCACTTAGAGCGATGCCAACCTTATTAGCACTTCAGTACTTTGTTTCTTCTAAAGAGGTGATCAATCCACATACACCACAGTAGCAACTTTTTTGACAGCTGCTCTGAGGTGACAGTACATACACTGCCATCTGTCATTAGGCAACATTTCCCATCCTCCCTATTTCAGCTTATAAAAAGTTTGGAAGATACCTTGCTCCATGTGATAGAGGATCAGTCGGGCTAAGACTACTTTCATAATGCTCTCTCCATGCCCTGTGGTTGAAGTGGCACCAGAAGAGTTATCAGCATAACCTCCGCTTCCTTTTCAGAGAGAGAGAAAAAAAAAAAGCAGCATTTTGGATAATACAATTTACGAGCTCTGCAATGTTTATAGTAACACACTATTCCTAAGGGTTCAGAAGTTCTGTGCACTTCTGAGAGCAAAGTGTCAGTAAGTCGCATCTTTCCCATTTCTGCCTCAATTTCAACACTGACAGACATCAGCAACAGCTAGATGAAGTCAAGTGCCAAGTTACAAGAACTAGAAGACCAGTGAGCTGGTTGTGCCACAAAAGCCAGGAAAAGGAAAAAATATTTTCCAGAACAGTGAGGGACAGTATATTGAGGATCATCAGGATCCAACAGGATCCAGTAGAATACAAAATGCCAGGTCACACAATATTACAGAGAGAGACGGAATGACAAAAGACCTTGTAGAGGACAAGATGAAGTGATCAAAATTTGTGGGGGATTTGACTGCAAGAGCAAAATTAGAGCAGAGATTTGAAAAGCTGGAGCTCTGGTGAATCATCATGAAGCACCCTGAACAATCTCTCAAGTCCTTACCACAAGCAGACTATTTCTTTTGTTTGAACTCTCACTCCTTTTTTTTTCCATCATCCTTGTTTGACTGGCATTCCACACCCTGTTCTACACCAAGCTTTGGCTTGCTCAACACCCATATTTCTAACACATCTTCTATGAAAAACATTTCCCAATTGCTGGGGAGGTGCATACCACAGAGTTACATCTATAAGCAAGGTACTTGTGTTGGGGCTGGGGAACAAAAGAGATGCAGGAGAGCTGTGAAAGTTTCTTCCATTTCCTACTTTCACCATCAGATCAGTCTCTTTCAACAGACTATGATTTACATGTGGAAAAATGCTGCTACAATCGACCTGTCAACTTCCCTTTCAATAATCTCATGATCTTTAACAGGACAACTGTCACTTCAGTGTCCAGTTCTGCAGACCTCCAGTAAGAATAGAAGTTGAAAGCAGTATATTGAATGGTGTCATTTTCATTTCTTCCCCACAAACGTTTTCCATACTATGAACGCTATGAACACAACCCACCTATGAAAAGGGTATTTGCAGTCAGAAGGCAGCAGTAAGCAATGAAGCTGAAAATCATACTCAAACCAGGGGGTATCTCACTCAGGGTGTGAGAAAAAAAAAAAAGATCTGTAAAATAATCATGTACTGCCAACAGCAGCGCTATCTGAGTTTGGAACATGCTTTACTAAAAATAATTATTTTCCAAATCCCAACTCAGTAATATAATCCTGAAGTAATCAAATGGCAAGTTTGTCCCACAAGAGAAACAAGTCTGGGGAAGGGATTTCAAGTGTCTCTTTATACAATGACAAGAGATATCTTAAAATATTTCCTTTAATCTACACCACATCTATGAGGCTCTTAGGCAGTCTTATCTGGGCTCTCTAAGAACAGGAATTTACTCCAAGTTGCCAATCGTTTGGCAATTCTGGCTCACTGATCTGACAAACAGTCATTACAATTACACATACCTTAAGTATGAAGAAAACAGCATAGAACTGACTATACTTTTTGCTTGGCTATGAGCATAGATGTACATATTGATAGTTTTAGTAGGATGAACGAACAGAAGACACACAGAAAAATAAATCAGTATTCAGAAAAGGACAAAAATTCAAATTCCCATTCCCATTTTCCAAACAGAAAAGTGGGATAATGATGACAGCACCACATCTCTACTTCTAATCCCTATTTGCAAACTCAGGTTTGTATTGAGGAGCTTCAGTTTTCATACATTTGAATGCCAGACCTTAGTTTCAGACGTATCACTTTTTCTTTCATTCCACTAATAGAAAGGAGAATGTGTGACAAACACTAAAATTTTTAATGAGATACCTCCAAAAAACAAGAGGCAAGTCCCCACAGCCCATACCTATGCATGCTGTGTCACCAACACGGCCAACCAATTTATTAGAGAGTCCTCCAGTGGATGTTGCACAAGCTACATTTCCTTCACTGTCTACAGCAACAGCACCAACTGTTCCCAGGTCTCTGCCAAGAAAAACAGTTCACAAAATTAGGTAGAATTAAAACATACCTGCCAAAGCATGCTGTATTTATTTTCTAAGTTGCTTTAAAAAAAAAAATTGAAAAAGATTACTGCAAAAAAATATTGCTCATCAGAAAGCCATTTTTTATCATGCTTCTCATTACAAAAATAACCAGTAAAAACCAATTCTCACAGCTTTTGTTTTCTGTGCAATTAAATAACTCTTGACTCTTTTTTTAAACAGTCTGATCTCTCCCCATGACTTATTTACTATCAGCAGACCTGGAGCAGTTTTTTGGCTATGGCACACCTAACATACAACTTTCCCCTAGTGGCAACTCAAAGACACAAGAATCATCTCCCACTGTCTTAATGAGCAATTAACTCAAATTATTTATGACAGTGCATGTAAACAAGTAAATACATAAAAGGAGAGCATTGTTAGAATGCACTGAATCATTTCCTTCCTGTTCCTCCTCCTTCCTTTTCCTTATTCCCCTAAATGCTTGAACGCCACAAAAAAAAAAAAAAAAAAAAAAAAGGTTATTTATGTGCCTTTCAATTAGTATTGTTCATAATGCATCACTAATACATACTTGTATCTGTACTTTGCAGCTAAGCAATCTTGAGGTTTAATCATTTGGTCAGGAGAATGTTGAAACTGCAAACCATTTTAAAAATCTTCATTCACTGAAGAAAATAAAAGTCTCAACTACTGCCTGATTTCTTCAGCAGTCATATTTAATAGGCTGCTTAAAATATACACGTAAGTTCATACTGGTAGGAAAAAAAGGCTACTCAACTTACTGTAACAGTTGCTGTACTGAGAAGCAACAGTTTGAGGGTCCACATATTCCAATCTTGGCAATTCACTTAAGTACATAAAACCACATTTGGTTGGGAAAGCTATATCCAGAAAATCTCAGTCTTTTCACAAAAGAAAATAATTTGTGCCAATCCTTCAGCACAACTATTTTTGTATTTTGTCTGATCACTGGTGAGGGTCTCTACGTAACCCCCAAAATCAAAGCTAAGTTCATTTTGGTCACAACAGCTTCATGCACTGCTACAGGCTTGGGGCAGACTGGCCAGAATGCTGTGCAGAGGAAAAGAATCTGAGGGTGCTGGCTGATGTTCAGCTGTGCATGAGCTAGCAGTGTGCCCATGTAGCCAAGAAGGCCAACGACATCCTTGGCTTGTATCATAAATAGTGCAGTCAGAAGGAGCAGAGAGGTGAACGTCTCTCTGTACTCAGCTCTGGTGAGACCACAGCTTGAGAACTGTGTTCAGTTTTCGGCCCCTCACTACAAGAAAGACATCAAGGCCCTGGAGAGTGTCCAGAGAAGGGCAACAAAGCTGTGAAGAGCCTGGAGCACAAGTTTTATGGGGTGCAGCGGGGGGAGCTGGAATTGTTCAGTCTAGAGAAGAGGAGGCTTGGGGGAGACATTATAGTTCTCTACATCTATCTGAAAGGAGGTTGTGGCAAGGGGTCAGCCTGTTCTCCCAGGTAGCTATTGACAGGACAAGAGTGAATGGCCTCAAGTTATGCCAGGTGAGGTTCAGGTCAAATATTAGGAAAAAATTTCTTCTCCAAAAAGAATTGTTGGGCACGGGAACAGACTGCTCAGGCAAGTGGTGTAGTCACTGTCCCTTGAGCTGTTCAAGAAATGTGTAGATGTGGTACTTAGGGACATGGTTTAGTGGGTTATACTGGTGGCAGGCGGACAGTTAGACTAGATGATCTTAAAAGTCTTTCTCAACTTGATATCATGATTCTATGATATCCAGTCAATTTCTCACAGAACCAACTCCCAGTTCCTTCCTGTTTATGTAAAATATCTTACTGTCAGCCCCTACACTACATTTACAGCAATTCAAAGTTGACTGATGACTCAGAGGACTTACAGACTGCTCTGACATTTATGTGGAGACAAACCTAATCTCAAACTGGTATGTTGGTGCAGATGGGCTTCCCACCCATCCATCTGTTACAAATGATTTGCTGAAGAGAATATTAGGAAATTCAGTGCTCCCTTACATAGACATGTAGTGCCTTTTAACTAACTAAAGTTAGATCCTCCTGAGAAATTAAGAAACGCATGTTCAGATCTACATTTTCCAAGGTATGTATTTAGAATCACAGAATTGTCTGAGTTGGAATAGACCCTTAAATAGGGTCTATTTTATATATATATATATATATATATGATAATAGTCCAATGCCCCTGCAAAGAACAGGGATACCTACAGCTACATCAGATTGCTCAGAACCCCACCCAGCCTGACCTTGAATGTCAGGGATGAGGCATCTACCACCTCTCTGGGCAACCTGTTCCAATAAAAAACTTTTTCCTTATATCCAATCTAGTTCTCCTCTCTTTTAGTTTGAAACCATTTTCCTATGTCCTGTCACAACAGATCCTACTAAAGAGCCTGTCCCCTTCTTAGCAACAGCCCTCCTTTAGATACTGAAAGGCAGCAATCAGGACTCCTTGGAGCCTTCTCTTCTCCAGACTGAACAGCCCCAGCTCTCTCAGCCTGTCCATCCCTTGGATCAGTTTTGTGGCCCTCCTCTGGACATATGCCAGCAGGTCCATGTTTGTCCTGAGGAATCCATGCCTGGATGCAGTACTCCAAGTAAGGCCTCACCAGCACAGAATAGAGGGGCAGGATCATTTCCCTCAACTTGCTGCCCATGTTTCTTCTGGTGCAGCTCAGTATACAGTTGGCTTTCTGGGCTGCCATGAGAATACTGCAAGTACAAAGATTACACGTGCAGCAGCTATCTACTTTGGTACAAGAGCACAAATGGCAATAAATAATAAAGTGAGTGTGTCCAAAGCATCTTAGCTGTTGTGGAGCAAACACAAAACTAGACTCTAATTACTGTTCTTTTAAACTTTTGATTACTTCAGTGTCATGTTTTCTTTGTTCAACTTCAGAAGGCAGATATGCAACAACCTGTTGCATAGTCCACTGACTGAGAAACACTAACAAGGCAGCCAAAACTGTCTAAGTAGAAATACTGTATTATAGTCATAGGTCTAATGTTAGTGTCCAAAGGAATAACTCCACAAGTACCTGTGGTACATACTAGAGTATGACTGTGCAACCTTTTGGCTTGTTGAGGATGCATTGAGCAAACAGGAATTGCCTTGGGCCACATATAAAATATACAATAAATTTAATGAATTTAAATATACAATAAATTTAATGAATTTAAATGACAACACTTTTTTTTTTTTTTCTTTTAAACAGAGCAACAAAAACAAAACTAGTGGAACGTCTGACCTTGTTTTTGGGAAACTGATGCATCAATCTGGTTCGATGGCAGTGGCTGCCATTCTTACTGAATTCTAAGGGTGTTTGTCAGATTTTTGATGAAGTATTACTCTTCCCATGCTTCATCCTTGATAATAACCATTCACAAATATACATACTGCCAAAAAACATTGACATGAATAAGACATAGCTGCAAAACAAGGGATATTTTTCTCTGATAAGAGAGATCTTCCCGGTGAAGAGATGTGACCAAATTTTTCTTTGAGCTGAATGTCTGATTACATCTCTATACAATCCATGTGAAAATTTGCAAGTAATGTATTTACTTCAACTGATAACAGATTTGCAAATACATTAAAAAATTGATTTTTCTTTGAAATCTTGATATCTATTCTCAAATTTTTCTATGAAAATGGAAAGCTAAGCTGCTTATTTTTCATTATTCACAGGACTGCATACAGCTGACGTTTCAAAAAGCAGGAAGTCATTTGCCGTAACTTATGCTTGTCATAATGTAAGTTTCATTTCAAACACCGATTGTCTGAAACACAGCACAAATAAGGTTATTTTTTTCACCCTGAGAACCCATGTTTAACTCATTCAAATCAATCAAAAATGCTAAATATATCAGTTAATTTTAGTGTTCAGGTTCCAGCACAAGTTTTCCTTTTAATTCTATAAAGGACTTGATCCCACTTTGCAAATCATGAAGTCATTTTTAGTATTTTACCCCAATGTAGCCACCTTCCTTCAGAAAAGTAAATGACGACCCCACAATCAGCATACACACTTTTAAGGAACTCCCAGCATTGGTGGTGATTCAATTCCTTGGGCTTTAGGAAATTCACAGCTGTGATGACGATTTACATGACACTATCTATTTTTAAAGCTTATCCACAAGCATTTTCTTGCTGCCCAACACAGTCAAATTACATCAAATCTGAGTTATCAGTGGTAATGGCATCATCTCCTACAGAATTTTCTCAGCCCCTCTTTTTTTTTTTTTTTTTAAACCAACCATCATCGGGGCACCATCAGTAGCTATACCAGATATGCTAATAAAGATAAAAAAAATTAAAGGGAAGATTTATTTATTCTTTTTTACTACTTCATACAAATCAAGAGATTTAGCACCAAAGAAGCCATTTTTGTCAGTGACATTACATTAGTTATCAACACCTCTAATGAAAATGGCAAGTAAAGCCGTATCTGTAGCATTACTACTTTCACCTACTGCCAAAGTATGAAATTTGAAATTAGCAGCTTTACTCTCCAAATTTTTTTGATATACATTCCTGTTCCTTCATTTCACCTGACTATATAGCCCAGTCACACAAACTAATTTTTTAAAAAATCTTTTTTTTTTTTCCTTTTTTTCATTTTATTTTTTAAAATCAGAACACATTATATCTGTTATGCTTTCCATTCATCACTTAAAGTCACCATTAGGAAACAGTATTTTTTATTATGAAATTTGCTATCACTTAACTAGGTTTTATAACAGAGTCCATCTGAGTTTTAACTTTTTTAAAAAATTATTTTATTGAGGTGACAGACTTTCTTCAGTTCTACTGTTTTGTCTTTATGAAACATTCAATGATCAGAGGGCTGGATCATGTCCCTGACGGGGACAGGCTAAGAGAGCTAGGGCTGTTCAGCCTGGAAAAGAGAAGGCTCTGGGAGGACCTTACAATAGCCTTCCAGTACCTGAAAGCAGCCTACGGAAAAGCTGGGGAGGGACATTTTACAAGGGCATGTAGTGACAGGACAAGGGGAGATGGCCCTAAACTGGAAGAGGGCAGATTTATTCTAGATAATAGGAAGAAATTCTTTACTATGTGGGTGGTACCTGTGACACTGGAACAGGTTGTCCAGAGAGGCTGTGGATGCCCCCTCCCTCGAAGCATTCAGTGCCAGGCTGGATGGGGCTTTGAGCAACTTGGTCTAGAGGGATGTGTCCCTGCCTATAGCAGGGGGTTCTAAGATTCCTCGGTGTGCAATGAATTTGACAGCATGTTTCTGCATACAGTGCCTTTTCAAATTGCGTTATTTGAGAACTGAGACAATTTCCTAGCAAATCAAGCATAGTGCCATATTATATGTCAGCATAGTACCCTCGCCGTGTCCCAGAGCCAGGTCAGACTGCAGAGTGAGCACTGGTGCAATTCTCAGGGAATCTTCAGCAACTCTAGAAAGCATACGGTCAGAATCTCTGGACTGAGAGACAGAAGATAAAAAACCCCACACTTCAGTGTTAGAAGAAGGGGTACAAGATATCAGACTGCACATGCAACAGAATCATAGTTTCTGAAAGTAAATGAATGCAGGCTTCTATTCAGCAAAAGAGAAAGCTCTCTTCTTCCGAGCTCTTTGCTTGGAAAGCTCTGAACACCTAAAAAAAAAACAGCTGATACACTCTGAAAACCTGAGGACTAAAGGTTAAGTACAAGCCAACCTTCACATTCCCAGTATTAGCTGGTGTTAGGTTGCCTCTGACCAGTACTACTTCACCTCTGCCTGTTTGCTTCAGGCAAGTTTCTGCATGATCACTATGGACATAATGAGGAAAAAGAACATTCAACACAAACACAGGAACAAACAGGTTGGCATAAAGAGACCTCTTCTGAGCTTTGTGAACTTCTGTCTATGCTTGTGGGCAATGCTTGTCAGGAAAAGCACAGTGTGGCCAAGACAAGAAAAAGACTCAAACTTGTCAGAAATACACAAATCTTCAAGGGTACTCCAGAATAAGAACAAGCTGAAATTAAAGATGCCTAACAATGTTAACTATAAGAAAAAAAACAACTAAGCAGCTATAAAGAATGATCAGAGACTGAGATGTCATACTTCCAGCTCCCTTCTTCAGGAGGCCAGGGGACACTGGCAGCTACACCATTCTCAGAATTCTTGGCAATGAGCTGCAACACCACACAGTCCTTGCATACCGCACAGATTAAAAAAACCTGAAACTTCTAGGGGAGACAAGATGAACTATGACAGATATCTCACGGTCAAGGAATAGCTTCATTTTGTTTACAAGACTGTATTTACACTTTTATCAAGACTTTGTTTTTCCTTCTAGCAATTTAATGTAAGTAACATATAGCTTATACATATTATGGCCTAATTTTCATTGATTTTAGTTAACATGCCCACAGAAGCAGCTTCTTCCTTTTTTCTGATCTACAAATTCTTCAGTTCTGCTTCACGTAGTACTACTACCTCACACAGATTAGCAGCAGCATGTAATACAGTATTTTCCTATGCAGCAACTGTTGCCATACAAATGCAAACTCAAAACAATTTAGTATTTATGCCTACCTCATGGGCATAAAAGATATTTGACACCTCACGATTTTCATTCCTTTCTCATCCACCTTGTCTTCCTCTCTGATTTGTTATGTGAAGCCTGCTTATTTTTCAGGTGACTTTCATTTTGCTGGCGTGTAATATCATCTGATAGCATCTCTTCTTGCACCCACCACTACATTGAACTTCTTGGTCAATTTTTTCTCCTTCTATCTACAGTAACCAAAAGTCACAATCAGCACTCAGCACACTTGATCAAAATACGACACAGTTTAACTACCTAAACCAGTTTAAAAACAAGTCAGATGGTTGGTTTAACCAACACCGGTTTTATAATTTTATTTTTTACATGGACTTTGTAATTTTAAACAGTGGACTGGAGAGTTCCTAACTCACAGTTCTTCCTTGGAAACTTACATACTCACTTAAACTTTAGCAAATTCACTAGAAGCTGGATTTTGAGGGTTGGGGTTTTTTTTGTTGTTTGTTTGTTTTTTGAGGACATATTGGGAAGATTATGGCAAACCACAGCTCACTCAGAACTGAAATATTATCAAGGCTGACAACAGGCCTTCAAGCTTTGGGATTTTTTTTCTTTTAGTTTTTTTGGGGGTCTTTTTGGAAGGAGAGTGGCAGGGGGTGTGTGAACTGATTGCACCAAGTAAACTACCTGAATTAAAAAAAAGTTACAAAAACCTACTTCTGGAACTCCACAGGGTTGGAATCTGGCTCAAGGTTCTTCTTCCATCTCTCCCGAGACCTCTCAGTTATGAGTTTCTCCCCTGGAATCTCAGGAACACCCATAGCTTGAGCAAAGAGCCGGGCACCATGGTCAGTTAACAGCATGTGCTTTGTCTGCAGAAGACAGGCAAAAAAATTACTGACACTTCTTGTTTTTCCTAATACAAACTGCTCACTGTAGTCACTATTTTTTAGAAGGATGGACACAAAGAAAATTCCAAATTCTGTTTTATTTTTAAACTTCCTGGTTTTCTGTGCCTATATCAAGAAAAATTTTTATGTGATAGAGTCAACTGTTTCTTAACAAAAGCTAAACCATTTTACTTTTAATACTTCTTTCAACAAGCTGCCATTCTTACAGACCCAGAATTTCCTATTTAGGAACTGAATATCATTCTAATAGATTTGATAAAAATTGTTTGCTCTCTTCAAACAACATTTGCACTTGCAGAATCTCTATATTTACTTCTCTATTTAGCAAAGCACTTAAACCAGATCTAAAGTCGGCAACCTTGATCAAATCCACACTTCCAAGTCTGCATGGCTTGCTTAATTCCTATTTTTGATAAACTTGCCAGTTAAGTTTGTTTCATTAATCCTTATGCTTTAGTAGGATCTCCAGCATCTAAATTGTTTTTTTTAAACCTGTGTCCAAAATGATGCATCAACTTTTTGGATCACTGCACAGCTGTTCATTGCTCAGCAGAGCCTAGGAAGTTTTCACAGGAGCAAAGGCCTGACAATACAGGACTCACAACAGAACACTGTTAACTTTAGGTAAACTTCTACGTCCATGCAGCAACACAGCACATGGCGATCAAATTAAGGTTCCTAAAGCAGATTCAGGAGATGCTGCAGGCAGCAGGCCTGCAGAGCCCTGCAGAGCACCCAGTGGCTCTGCTTCTCAGCCTGCAGTGAGGATTCCCAAATCTGGTATTTATTTCTGTGACACACTGCATTGACACTCCATAGTCAAAATACTCTCAAAGCTTCAGATTTTAAGATGTTGCAGAACATCAACTATTTCTGATTTCTAAAGCAATGATAAGCAATCATTACCATGAGGAAGGCAAAGCACTGAACAGCGTGAAGGATTTGAGCCCAAATTCTTCCCAAACCACAAATACTCAACTCTGCTTCAACCTGCTGCATCTCTGCACTAATCTTTCCAAATGCTTACACAAGCAGGAAATGCCATGTCACATTAAAAATGTTCCTGACTGGCCATTCACCAGGTGGTGGCCCTAACATCAAGTATCTTTCATATCTAAGAAATTACTGCAATTGATGACAGTACCACTCAAGAGAACAAGAGGAACAATTACAAGGAAGAATGTGCTCCACATCTGAAAGAGTGGAGAACAGCCTTACACAAGTGCTGTTACCTGACAATGTAAGACCCTACCTGTTTATAACAAAGCTGAAGCGTTCTCAACTCAGAAGGGAACTTCTCTGTGCAACACTGCCCCCCCTCTGCCACTGGAACTAAACCACCACAGCACATGATTCAGTAATTCCAATTATGTTTATAGGAAATTCCATTCAACTTTTCTTTTGACTTTACCTGCATAAGAAGGTAGCCTCCTCCATCACTTGCTTTCTTCAAGAATGCAATTCCATTGCTTTTCTAGTATTTTTTGTTTGTTTTAGAAAATAAGATTTTATTACATAAAAAAACAAAGCAATTTCTTAAAAATTTCTTAAAGGAGCATCCCACATGCAGACTTTGATAACATACCACCTTCATGAACTGCACACAAGCAAGAAATATTTGTACGCAGAGGTTTAAGTTCCTATGATAGCTTTTTGCAGTCCTTGCTGAAAATAAAGTGTCCTAGGGAGAATTTAACATATTTTGTCCATCAAAAGAGCTCATAGAGCACTGCCAAGCAACCAAAAGAACAGATTTTCCTGTCTCATTCTCCTTCTAGTTTCATGAATGTATTTATTAACTTTTTAGATGCCTCATTTTTCTGGGACACACTTAAAACAGAGTAATCCAAAAAGAAAAAAAAAAAAATAATAGTTTTTAGAGTTCTTAACAACAAATGTTGGAAAATTTCTGTTTAGTTCATCTTAACGGAAGCAGGAAGAAAATCCCCAACCTTCAGTTGCTGGCCTGGAATTCAGATCATCTCTTTATTTAACAAGCCCAGCAGTGCAAAAAGCACAGCAGAAGTTTCCACCTTTCCACCTTTGCCATGAGAAGTCTATGTCGTAGGTTAAATTTTCCTCTAATTTCAAGAGCTGGATGAGGATGATATAAGGGAAAGTATACACCAACAGTTTATGGGTCCCAGTGAATCAGCGCTGTAACGTTCACAACGCTGTGACATTCATCTCATGAAGTGCTGGAGCTGAGGGGGATTACACGCCCCATTAAGAAAAACAAGTCATTTCAATGCATCATTCCACTGTCGTTCACTACAAACAGGAATAATTTTATGGGAATTTAACTGCTTTCTCAAGTATCCATTTGATTAATTAGTTAATGTACTAAGCCTTCCATCTCTAGAGACTGATGTGCTCAGTATTACAGTAAGGCACGAACAGAAGTTATTCCGGTGCTTTCCTTTCTTCTCTACCATGAATTTGAGCAAATTTGAGCCCACTAAGAGCACGATAACGTACAAGATAAACGTGCACAACAGCAGCCTAAGGAGCTACTCTGACCACCAGATGGAGCCCATATTGTTCCAGAATAGGAATGGAAATACGATAAAATTACAAGCAGGTAGGGAACTTTCCATTTGTTACTTGTTTTTTGTTTGGAGAACTTCATGTTCTCCTTGGGGCAGTAATGTCTCTCAACATCATTGGGAAACAAGCATCCTAAATCCTTAGGACCACAGGAAACACCAGATTTATCACCCAGGGGTCACTGAGTTCAAAATATTTTTAATTATTTACAGTAAAATAAAACAAATAAAATACACTCTGAAAAGCACCATGAAATAGCCTGGGTTAGTGTCCCCAAACTCCTTCCTAAGATGAAAAGAAGAGTAACATTAGCTGGCTTGTATTCCAGTTTGTAATGTCTGCCAGAAAAACAGCAGAAGCTCACCTCAAGATACATCAAGCAATTTAGGTTAACATCTACATTTGAATGTTGTCATCTACACAGAATTTATTGCAGCTGGGCAAACAGAAATACATTGCACCACAAAATGGAAGTACTTCTCATTTTGTGGTATTAGCACCAAACCATTATGCAGAGCCTTATACAGTTGAATTTTTTATTTACTACTAAATCTAGCTTGAACATTTTTGAAGACCTGAAGCACCACTCAATGACAAAAGACCTTACAGCAGATGAGAGACAGAGGGCAGATTTTTGGTTTTGTTTTTTTTGTTGGAGGTGGCTAGGATGTATTAGAAAGTTCTGTTGTCCAAAAAACGTTGTTACTTTATCCTAGATGAGGTTTTGTCATAGAGAAAGAGACACCATCAGTGGTTTTTAACTGTCATTGTAAGAAGTGATCTACAGTAACTATACTCAGCTGTACTATATTCAGCTTTTCCCCCTCAAGTTACTAAAAGACATTCTACCCTTAGCCTTCCAACTACATAACAGAGCTCATTTCCTCAGAGTGCTATCTTTTAATAACAGCACTCAAAAAAAACCCCAAACAACCCAAAAATGTTAAAATAAAAGTTCCTCATGGTTGCAATCATAGATTCTAAGCACTACTTTCTATTTCTCATTCTTTCATAGTTTAGGGGAGAATTCACAAACAACATCAATGAGGTATTTCAACACACCAGATGAAGTACTAAGGAAAAGATGTTTCATATTCAAGTACAGATTCAGCATACCTTTTCCATGACAAGTCGAGCTAGCTTTATTGGGTTTGCTATACGTTTAACTGCTGATACTGCTCCAGAGGCCAGATTTTTTCCATCCATGATAATTGCATCCATTTCTACTTCACCTTCTTCATTAAGAACAGAACCACAGCCTAAACACCAAAGAACAACAACAAAAAAATTAAAATTAAAAAGGAGTAAGGGAAAAAGAATTAAGTTATTAAGAGCTAACCAGCAGCTGATTCAATTTATGGATCTCATCAAGCAAACTTTCTCTTTTCCAATTATATGTCTGACTTACTGGGAGTACCTACCTTCTGAATACAAACAACACAGCAGAAACGTTGCTGAGTATAACTACAAAAGCCAACCACAGACAGAAATCTGACAAAGTGCAATGGCTACTCAAAAAAAAAAAAAAAAAAGTTTTATTTTTATATGATGAAAAACACACTTGAAACATCATACAATCATGAATTCAGTCATAAGATGGTATACAGAATGCCATTTGCATTTATGCAATTCCATCCAAAATTAAATACCAGCTATGAAAGCTAACATGGCAATCGTAAACAAGATTCTTTATCCCCTAGATCACATCACATGCACATAAAAACATCTATTTTACTTTTACAGTTCTTCCAACTGTAGGACACCCAACAACACTGCATAGCGTTCAGTCCCATCAAAAAAAATAACGCCACAGAGGCATTCCAAGAAACTGCCAAAACTGACATAGCACAACAGAAGTGCTCATTCACTACTGCACCAGAACCTTGAAATAACACAGTCTTCAAATAACAGTTTATCAAATAACAGTAGATGGAGGAATTTAGAATAAAGATTAGAATAAAGATTTAGAAATGAAGTGCTGGGTAGTTATTCTCTTCAGCAATAATAAACATTAACATCAACCTAACTGAAAATTAATGGTACAAGATGAGACAATGCAAATAGGAATTGCTGTGTTTTGTTGTTTGTTTTTTTTTAATAATGTAAGTAAGTCTTCCCAGGGGAACACTAAGTTTTAAGTCAACACATATGCTAGCTAACGAGGCTGGATAAGACTGAATTTAGAAAGAAATTTAAAAATTCATGGTAGAACTATAGGGTAGCTCAGGTAGAAATACTCAAACAATGTACAGACCTAAAACAGGTTTTGTTGTTCGCTTTTCCTGTTAAACCCACATTAAGGCAGGTCAGAAACTACTGTTAGTAACTGCTGACATAAGGCAACTATACCTATGCATTTCTGGCCCGAATATATGCGTATAATGTTAAATGCTCAGTTACAGGAGGCAACAACATCCTGCATCTTCATCCTGTATTTCAAAACTCCACCTCATAGACATATATGCCTACACTCCACCCCGAACAGTTACTTTTTGCCCCCCTCCAACCATATATGCTATTTCTGAGCTCAGTGCCACATCATTCAGAATAAGTTATTTCTATGCTACGCTGATCTGTGGAGAGCTTACACATCCCTCCTTTCAGACATCTGTGCTAAAATCATTCTTCCAGAATTTCCCTTATTTTGATGTAAGGAATAGGTTCTCTGTTATTTCTTAGATAAGCCTTGCCACATTCTTCTAGTTTCCTTTGTCAAGGTAGGCTCTTCTCACACCCATGTTCACAAAATTCCCTCCAGAACAAGGTGTACCTTTCTCAAACAGCAGTAATCAGAAGAACGATGGCCCCAGGGGATGCTCTATCAGCCTCCTTTAGAAATCTCCTGTCTGTTGGAGATCTCTAAGGATTTTCTAACTGTTCCTCTGCAGAAAAACTGTAGGACACAACTTAATAATCAAGTTCATTCCTCTCCATATTTATTGTTACTGTTTAGCCATGTCTGTGTTTTCTAGGAAAATATTACAACAAAACAGACGTTTATTTTACAGAGATAAATACCACAAGTTTTAAAAAGCCACTCCAATCAGAGCCCTCTTCACATAGCTGTCAGCTCACTCTGAGAGCAGCTATATCTAATGAGCACTAACACAGCTGGATGTATATATAAGTGGTTAAGGACTTAGATCAGCATAGTCAGACGTGAACAAGAGCTCGAGGCTCAAGCCCAGTTCAAGCAAATTCTGCTAAAAATTCTTAATTTAATCTACTATAAACAACATATAAATATTGTTAGAACAAGTTAAGTAAACATCTTTAGACAAAACATTAATTTAATACATATTTCAATAAATATATGCTGTCAGACCATGAGAAAGTCTGCCACAAACATTTTTTGCACATTTGTTAAGAAAATGTAAAGTTACAACTGCCTAGCAAGCATTGGCTATGGTAGGGTCTAAGATTCTGTCCTCAAATGGTGCAATCACTTTGAACTTCCAGCAGTGCGTTCTCCTTTAAGTGGCTGTATGCTGAGAGAGAGGCTGCAATTTTTGCACTGGGTAAAGACCAGTACCTTTCAACTACATCCCAAACTTTCCTACAACTCTGGAAAAAAGAAATGCATGTAAAGCACAAGTCAGTGGAAACATCTCCATATGAAGAGCTATGTGGATGCTCTGAAATAAGAGAAATGTATTCTGTCCCGTATCAGTTCACTTCATGTTATCTACTTCCCAAGCTCAGAATAGCAGTATTAGTGATAAGATTGCAAACAAAGGGTTAAAAAAGCTTACATTAATACTGCCATTGTGATCCTACTTACTAAAATACATGTTGAAATGACACAGACTGCTGCTTATCATTTAAATAAATAAGCCTAAATTGACTGCTATAAAGCAAGCTTTCGCCAGAGAATCCCACTCAATTAAAATACATTTCCTATTTACATAATTTTGATTTACAGAACCATCAAAATTAGCATAAGAAACCAAGAAAGTATGGAATTGTTTACATGGAATGATTAAGAGATGTAAACAGTCTTTTGGCTTAAATTTATACTGAAGTTGCTTCCACATTGACATTGGACAACTAACGTTGGCTAGAAAATGATGCTCCTTGAGAATTAGGATTTTTTTCCTGCAATATAGGAAGCTGATGGCTTTGAAATAGCAAATGTAAGCTGTTTGGCCAGAGATTTGTTTAGAGATAGAACCCAGAATTACAGAAAGCACCAAAGGTCAAACAGTTACAGATTTACTGACCTGAGCAAAACACGGTCCTAAAGGTTGACTGATTTAGACAGCAAGTGAAGAAAAAGTTAGTGAGGGAACACCAGCTTCAAATTAATTATGCAACTGCCTCATGGTACACATCTCTTGTTTAAATCTCTAAAAACAGGAAGTTCAATCCAAGTCAGCAATGAATTGCTTAAAACTTTCACATGGAAAAAAAAAATCTTTCCGTCTTTCTCAATTGCAAGGTGAGAAAGAAAAAGTGAATCTCTGCACATTAAGCATCCACACAAGAAACAAGTCTGCTATCTGAGACACTGAACTCTGACAGTCTTCTTTCCCGTATTCATTCCTGACATACCTTGCTGGAAACGGTGAAAAATTTTCACTGAAATGCATCCAAATAGCAAACTTGAGGTTATATGAAAAGGAGAAAAATATTGGATTATTAACTATCATTAACAGTAATTGACATTAATTGCTAGGAAATTCAGTTCTAAACCTTTGCTGTATAAATTCATGACTCATATCGTTGGTTGCATTATTTTTATAATATTATTTAAGAAAGCACTAATTGCAAGCATTAACTAAAACATATACAATATCCCAAAATCTTCCTTTAGCAAGAGGTAACGGTAAAGAATTAAGGCTTAAATATTGCCACAAGCTCTGTACAAATGACCTAAATATGAATATTAACTGAACGTACACTCCATAAAGGAGTCCATGTCTTAAAACCAAAGACTCAGCATGGGGACAGGGAAGATTTACGTAATAGTAAGACTGGAGAACAAGCATAAATCAGTAGGTACAGAATGCTGAGAAATAACAAAGACTAACCTGACGGCTTAAGTGTGCTCACAAGAAACAATGGTATACACACCATGCTTTTTTCTTATACCAATAAACAAGTGATTCATATTTTGTGACACTAATAGTTACTTCACTACAATATGCATAATTCAAGGCGAATGCAAGCCAGTATTTTCACAGTAATAGAATCAAGCACTGAACGTATATAATGATTATACAGACATTTAAATCTTTAAAAATTACCTGCATTAAAATGAGGGTCATCTTCCATTGACCGTACCGCCTCCTCAACTGCATCTAAGGCGCTGCCTCCTTGTTTCAGGACACCATAACCCTGCAGCGCTGCTCTGACGACACCAGCACGGCATCCCTCTTCTCGTTCTTTGAAGATCCGGCCAGCTCCACCGTGTACCACAATGACAGGCCTCATCCTGCCAAATTCCTCCAGCTGTGCCAACAGGTTGTTCTTAATTAGCCTGTTTTGGAAAGAACTGTGTTTAGTATTTGTTCCCTTCCACATGGAGACAGCCCTGCAGATAAATGAGCAGATAAGCTGTTTGACTCCCATGAGTTCACCTTTCAAGAAGCCGAGCACTCCCCCTAAGGAGCTCCAACAGCAAGCTCCCCCTGTGCCAGGCACTGAGGAACCTGAACAGCCTGCAGCCAGCTGACAGCAGGGTGTGTTGACCTCTGCAGGGCCCGCTCAGCAGAACTATGCCATCTCACCACAGAGCCTGCCTGATGATGGTATTACCTTACAGGTTACACGGAAACAAGCACTGGAGTCTCAGTCCTGCAAACTGCTCGTTAGACGAGTAACCTCACTCTTTGAGTGCACTCACAGAAGCACAGATAAAGCCCAACCCGAGTTAGCAGCTTAACCACGCCGCGTGGATTTCAAACCTCCGACCTCTTAAAGTCGTTGTACTTTGTTCAGAAAAACAAGGCATCAAAACCTGGCAGCTAACCGCCTTTACTGCTCACTGCCTCCCGTGAGCAAACCAGCGCTGCTGCACATCTGTGGATGCGGAGGAACCTCGCCTCCCACTGACACCAGGCCGGCAGGAGAGGAAGCCCAGTGAGGGCTGGCACTGCGCCCACACAGCAGGCCCAGCCGTGCCGCCCGGGGCAGAAACGTCTCGATTTTCACCGGGCTGCCGTAAGAGAGGCCGCTCTCCCGGAGGCCGCCTGAGCTTTTATTTCAACGGACGGCTGCGCTTTTCTTTCCCCTACGGTCAGGTTCTCGCCGCCCTGGAAGGAGGAGCCCAGTGCAGCTCGTCCGCAGCGGCAGAACCGAGCCCTCAGGGTCCGCTCTCCGCGTTCCAAGTCGCCGCCGGCGCTCAGCCAGCCTCACCCGCCCCGCGGAGAGCGGAGCCAGACTCCGCTGCGGCCTCCCGACCCTGCGGCAGCCGAGCGCGGTGCGGAACGGGACTGCGCGGCCAGCGGTTCCCTCACCAGACATGGCGCTCCGAGGGCTGCCCGCAGCTAAGATGGCCGCCGCCCCGCCCGGCCCTGCCTCGGAGGGGCGGCACCGCGGCCGCAGGAGGAGGGTGTGCCGACAGAGCGCGGCCGCTGTCGCGCTGGGGAAGGCGGTGTGGCTGACGGCTCTGTCAGCTGGCGTGCCCGCAGCCCCGTGTATTACGGATGGTGGAAATAAGCCGTCCCTGCCTCAGCCCGCGTGGCGTGCGGGCAGAAGCGCGTGCCCCAAGGCGTGCGGAGGTCACAGCCCTACAGAAGCCGTGAGCGGCGCTCCGCAGCGCGGTTTCCTTCCCCGTGTGCCGCCGCCTGCCGCAGTGACGGCGCCCGGCGCGGTGCCGGGGCGGCTTCGCTCCGCGATGCGGCGATAAGCGCCCTCATTTCTTCTCGCTGATGTACCCTTTCCTATCAGATGTTGCACCACCTTTAATTTCCTCATCGCTCACCACCGCTTGGTTTCCCCTAGTGTTAAACGAGAAAAATGACTCTTCCCCGAAGCCAAACCCGGCGATGCAATACGTGCCGTCCGCCCTTCCTTCTGCTCTCCTTCCAGCGAGCTGGGACTTCCAGTGCTCCGACGGCGTAAATGCAGTGAGGTGCCCGGGGCGTGGGCCTGGGAAGTGCAGCCGGGCGTGAGGAGGTGAGGCTTCAGGTGGGAGCTGACCAAGTGGTGCTGGGCGGTGTATGTCTGTTTAGATTCCAAACAGTAACAAAGGTACGAGAAAAGCGTGCTGTTATTACTGCACTGCTGGGGGAACACATCGTTACTTGGTGTAAAAAGAGCTACTAAACAAAAAGTCTGTGGGAAGGAAAAAAATCTTTAAGAATACAGTGAAAAAATCTTATTGGAAATAATAATCTCCATCGTTCCTTACCTATATAGTAAAAATATATATATAAATAAATACATTTTAAAAAATCGCAGAATTTGTGCAACCTCTCCCAGAATCCAGCCCTCTTGCTCCACTGTTTCGCTTCACCATCTCTTCACTTCCTTTTTCTCCTTCTGTTGCTCCAAGCCAGGCTGCAGGAGAATGGTGATTGCAGCCTGCCTTGGATTCATGAGTGGAGCTTAGCCGAGCTGGCAGTGCAGAACAGCAGGGACTTATGGCAACATGCAGCCAGTCCACAGAAGATTCATTTTATGTCTAGTTCTGGGCTCCCCAGTTCAAAAAAGACAGGGATCTCCTAGAAGGAGTCCAGCAGAGGACCACAAAGATGTTTAAGGGCCTGGAGCATCTCCCACATAAGGAAAGGCTGAGTAACCTGGGCCTGTTCAGTCTGGGGAACAGAAGACTGAGGGGGGATCTGATAAATGTTTATAAATATCTACAGGGAGGTAGGAGACAAATGGATGAGGCCAGGCTCTTCTTGGTGGGCTGTAGAAATAGGACAAGGAACAATGGCCTAAAATTTGAACATGGGAAATTTCATACAAATATGCAGAAAAACTTCTTTATGGTAAGCATGACAAAGCACGGGAACAGGTTGCCCAGAGAGGTTGTGGAGTCTCCTTCTATATTCAAGACCCATCTGGATGCCTACCTGTGTGACCTGTTACAGGGTACCTGCTTTAGCAGGGGAATTGGACTTGATCTCTTGAGGTCCCTTCCAACTCCTGCAATTCTGTGATTCTGTGATCCTGGACAATGGTTTAAAATTAATTGGTGTGGTGTAATTAGAAGGAGCTACATGGATGTTTTTTTCATTGTCACTGATAGGATCAACCAGGAGGAATTTAAATTTTGGGTGTGAATTATTTGAGAATACATCTTTATTCACCTTGCTTCCAGTGGTAGCGTCAAAATAGGATGCTAACTAGATGCTAACTAAATGAAATACTTGAAAATTATTATTTCAATTGTTTGCACAGATAACTGGATGTTAGATTTACATAATAACCTTAAATTGCAAAATTAATGTTGGCCTAACATTGTCAAGGTTCAGCAAGTGTGCCACTTTGTGGGACATCAGTTTCTTCATCAGGTTCCTATTGTAAGGACTTTTTAATCACCTTCTTTGCCACCCTTGTTTTTAAAACTGAGTCATAAGCAGTTTCCAAGTTAGCATTGGAACAGTGAAAGGAATACCACTGCTGTCTGGAGAGGGCCTCCAAAATGTCTGACTTACCGGGGCAGCTGGTGAAGTAAGGGCAATTGGTGGAGATAACATTCCTTAGGAGTCAGTGCTGCGCTGCTTCCTGTGTCTCACTGGGAGGCAGTGGTCTCTTAAACCTTTGTGTAGGAATAGGATGTCTACTCAAATAATGAGAAAAGCACTGTACACTGAAAGGGTGGATTGTCCAAAGTCTATGTAAACTGTTAAGTTTTAAATAATTACTGCAGAAACCTTACTGACTTCATTCTTGCTAATTTTTTAAGTGAGCTTTGCATATTTAATTGCCAGAGAAGCAACTTTAAAAATATACAGAATAAATGAGTTCTTTATATGTGGAGCCCTGTGGAGATTAGTGTTCCTGCTTGTATGCTGAATTGAATATACTTGAAAGAGGTGGGCATGTGTTACAGTGAGTGAGTAGGTGCTGCAGGGCTGAAGCTACGGAGTGGATGATCACACTGTGCACATCTATGTGACAACAGAGCTGTGTCATAAGGTCTGCCTTACATTTCAGAGGCTGATTTCAGCTGCAATGGGGGCTTCTGTTTTCCTGCCAAACCTGTATAACGAAGGACAAACCTGCCTGCTTCTAGAGAAGGAATTCCCTTGGAATGTCATTGAAAGTTTGATTTCAAGAACCAACAAAAAAGTAAAGCACATTGTAAAAGTAGCTCCTTTAACTTGCACACCTAACGAATCTTCTTTATTTTTAGAGTAAATGCTTATGTGGAAATTTCTCTGTTATCTACAAAGTATTTGAAAATCTTTAAAACGTGGTGTAGAATAGAAAGCAGTGTTTATATTTTAATAGAGTTCTGGGAGCGTACATCATTGATCAACACTGATGCCGCTTGAGAAAGCATGATAAACTTGCAGAAACACAGCACTAATTCAAGGAGGCTGCAAACTAGAATCTCTACATGTAGGCAGAACTCGTGGGTATCACTGCAGCATTGGGGTGCTTAGGTGAGTTTGGAAAAATTTTCATGTGAAGATTGCCTAGAAATGAAACTAAGCTAGAAGTAGCTTTGCTTTCCTTCTCTGAGGAGATCCTAACTCAGAATATTTTTTCCTTTCCATAATATATGAAACACTGATACAGTGAGTGCTCAGGGATGTGGTCCTATGTATCTCACACTCTCTCCTCTTCCTTGATACTGTTTTTAATGCTTGAAGTGAGACCCAAAACTCAGATGTTCCTCATGTAACAGATTCCCCACATAAGAAGTTACAGCATGTTACTGTGCTCAGCATTGCTTTTTTTTGTCTGCAGCGAAAGGATACTGATAGAGAGTGAAGTGGGCAGCTCTTTGAGCCCTTTGTTGGGATAGAGGTTATGATACAACGACAGTAATGGAACATTTCTATTTATCCTGGTTTTGAATCATACTCAGGTTGGGTTTAACTCATTTCCAGAGCTAGTATTTAAAATTGGCTGTGGCAGTTCCTATCGCTGTGCCATGTATTTATCATGAAAGGAAATGTCCATATTCAGTGCTCTGCTCTGCTGGTGGTGTGCTGTAGGTGAGTGTCTGAGCACAAGGCAATTGAATTCATAGATATTATTAAGCTGGAAATTATTAAGTTGGAAAGACCACTAAGATCATGTAGTCCAACCATCAACTCATCACCTCCAGACCCCTAAACCATGTCCCTCAGTGCCCCATCTTGTCTCTTCTTGAAAACCTTTAGGGATGATGATTCTACCACCTCCTTCTGGGCAGGCTGTTCTAATACCTCACTACCCTTTCTGAGAAGAAATTTTTCCTAATATCTAACCTGAACCTCCACTGGCTCAGCTTGAGTCCACTCCCTCTCATCCTATTGCTGTTACCTGGGAGAAGAGGTTGACCCCCACCCCATCACAACCTCATTTCGGGCAGGGAGCAGTAACGTCTCCCCTGAGCCTTCTCTTCTCTAGACTGAACAATCCCAATTCCCTCAGCCACTCCCTGTAAGACTTGAGCTTCAGACTCTTCACAGCTTTGTTGCCGTACTCCAGACACTCTCCAGGGCTTTGATGTCTTTCTTGCAGTTTGTGGCCCAAAACTGAACATAGTACTTGAGGTGTGGTCTCACCAGACCTGAGTACAGGGGGATGATCACCTCCCTGCTCCTGCTGGCAATACCATTTCTGATACAAATCTGAATGCCATTGGCCTTCTTGGCCACCTGGGCACACTGCTGGCTCATGGTCAGCCAGCTGTCAACTAACGTGCCCAGATCATTTTTCTCCATGCAGCTCTGCTCCAAGCCCGGAATGATGCATGGGGTTGTTGTGACCAAAGAGTAGGATTCAGCATTTGGTCTTGTTGAACCTCATACAACTGGCCTCAGCCCAGCAGTCCAGCCTGTCCAGATCCTTCCGTGGGGCCTTCCTTCCCTCAGGAAGATAAACACTCCCTTTCAACTTTGTGTAGTCTGCAAAGTTACTGAGGGTGCACTTAATCCTCTCATCCAAATCAATAAAGATATTAAACAGGGCCAGCCCTGAAATTTCTGCACAGTTTACTGACAGAGACCAAAATTAGATTTTTTTGTTCTCCTTTTCTTTCTGTTGTTATTGTGATAAAAAAGTCCTGAAGCCATATTACATTCTTGTCACTGCACTTCTGAAGGAACATACTTATCACCTTTCTGCTTTTGAAATCCTGCCCACAATCTTTGCAGTCTATAAATGTCGGCCTGCCCCATTCTACTGTCTTTAACTTCAAAGCAGGCAGATCAAGGTCGATTTTGTGAGATTGTTTTCCATTCTCTTACTGTTTATTCCAAGCTGTACTAAAGTAATAAAACCATTTTGATCATTCTTATTTGTCTGGTCTGCATAGAATATATGTGTGACGTGTTG